CCGCTCTGCTCTCTGGGGCGGCGGGAGCGGCCTTGGGCTGCCGGGGAAGAGCCTCCGCCTCGGGGAGCGTGTTGTGCTCCTCGTGTGTCGTGGCCCAGGGGAGGCAGTGGCGTTCCCTTTGCTTTCTGAACCCGTGCTGCTGCTTTGGCTCCCGCTTCGTCCCTCATCTGCTCTATCGTGCAAATGCCTCGTGTCGGCATCGAGCGTCCCCCTCGTGTTTCCACACCTCCAAACCAGCCTCCCCTGCATCCCAGATCTTTCCAAAAAAGCCCTCTTCCTCCCGTCAGTAATTGCTCTCAGTCCTTACCAACCCGCACTTTCTTGTGTCTCACAGTACGGTTTAAACACAGTCCAGTAAAAAAATAACCATAAACCCAAGAAGATCCCAGCTAAACACAGCAACAACTACAGTCTCCTTGCTCTTGTGCTGCATTTCTTTCTCCACTTGGTCTTTACCCTTGCTGTTTTCCACCCTTCCCCCCAGTTTAAAGGTCTCCTGGCCTGTAAGGTTGTGCTTTTACTGTTTTTAATCTTTGAGGGACTATCCACACCAGAGGAATTGCATAAATTATATCAGATTTGTATTGCTGAGGGCATTTTCCTGTTTGGCCATCAGCGTTCATATACCTGTCAATTTGGCAGATGTGTACGGGTCGGAATAGGCACCCCCCACCCAATGCACCAAGCTAAGCTGTGGTCTGTATTCCATTCAAAACTGTTTGACTAGGTATTCCCTGTGGATACACCACCACGCTGCCCAAGCCAACATTTCCTGATAGAATGGATAGTATTCCTGCAACTTGTAAAGCCACCAAGGACGGAGACGATGATGCAACTTCTGGCACAGAAAGTCTCTAAACTGATGATTGCCAGAGGCTGGGAAATGTCACAGGAAGGATCACTGTGTGTCCCCCTGGGAGGGGTTGTGCTTCCCCTGAGCGAGGGTGCTGTTGGAGAAGTGGCACTAGGCGAGATGGCTTTGCTTTCTTCTGTTCCTTGGTACATGATACCTGCAGGGCTGGGGCAGGGAGCGGGGCTGTTTCCAGTGTCACTGCTTTCCCCTTCCCCCTTTAATCCACCTTCCTTTGTGGACTAAGCACGTCAGTTATTGATGTTCCCTCAAAGTAAAAAATACCACAAATTAAGTTAAAACTGTTCCAATGGCACCCCTATTTTGCCTGCCACTACCAGGTCTCTCCATCCTTCCTCAGGCTTCTTCATCTCCCCAGGAGGAAACACACAGATTTTGTTTTGGCTTGGTTTCATTCCACCATTTATTTCTTCTGTTTCTCCCTCGGATTTCCATTCCCTTGCTCGGGACACCCATACTCATTCTCTAAACAGGCACACATATATCTATATATATAGTAAGGCACAATCACATTCAGATGGGACACTCTGCTGAGAGAAGAAACAGGGTACAGTGAATGATTGCAGCCTGCCCTGGAACGCAAGCTCTAACAAACAGATTAAAATGGATTCAAAGGCAACAATGCTCCACAGCATGGCTCCAAAGGATGTGGGGTCCTCTGTGTCCAACAAGTCCACGCTACATGAGAGGGTCAGCACCACTGGCTCTCAGCAAATGACACCTTGGTGCTCTCACCTGGGAAAAAGAAAGGCAGGACACAGAGCCACTTCTTTCCTTGTGATTTTAGAGCTGGTGAACAGAAAGGGGATATCCCTCAAAACCACTGGGGATGTGTTGCAGAGTCCACTCAAGGGCAGATGTGCGCTTTGCGTGTAAAATGCTTGTTCCTGTGCAGAGAGACAGGGACAACCTGAGCCTCTGGCTCTGCTCAGCTTAACGTTTGCTAGGAGGAGCTTTGTGATGGTTGAGGAGGAGCTGGCTGGTTCTGCCCTTGCTCTCAGTAGCTGCATCTGTTGCTGGGTACAAGGTGGCTGACGGCAGGTTCAGGCTGTTCACACCACCTAACAGTTAGGTGACTCCTAGGCTCAGCTTTTGACAAGCCTGGCTAGCTGTTTTCAGTGAGCCCAGGCTTGTCCACAGCTCTACTTCATGCTGTGGACATGAGTCCCATGGCCTTGAGCCAGAGCAGCTTTTTATTCAGTACTGCAGGTACAGCTTCAAGCCTTTTTTGGCTTAGCAGCTGTTAGACCTATGACTTAACTAGCACCCTAAGAGTGAATGCAACTCTAGTACAATGCCTAAATACTTAGGAGAGACTGGCTATCTGACCTCCACCAATTCATATTTAGCCAGGCCATACGACTGGAGACTCAGCCATTTAAGACCTCTTATTTGACCTACGTAAAATCAACCAGCTGTTCCCAGTGAACCAGGATGCTTTCTATCACGAGTGGCACTCGGTGGCCATACACTGGAAGTTTCAAGGAGAATCCAGACTGGATATGGCCTGGAAGCGAGAAAGACTGATGGACAGGCAGCCCTTCTAAATCCAGACTGGAGTCCAGAGCCAGATAAAAGAAGTTGCCCTGTTGACCTAAGTAGCACATCACAGCTACACATCAGCACATTTTCTGTGCATCAGATCTGTTGGTTGTTACTTTCCACCAGCGCTAAAAACACCCCAAAGCTGAAGCACACAGAAAAACTGCCTAGCACAGATTTCTGTTTCACAGATCAGACAGTTCAACCCCACTTCAAAGGGATTTTATGCTTTATGAACCATTTCCTAAGAGTTTTCAGGGTTCACATTGTCTGCCATACAGTATATATGGAGAAAACATACTTTTTCCTACTGTTAAAACATTATTTACTGAAATTTGAAAATCCACAATATGTTAAAAGAAGCTTCCAAAAAGGCACCATACATGTATGTATGTAACTGACGAACTTCATCTAAGACCAATACAGGGGAGAAGAAAAAGACATTGTGGAGCAGGATGAAGAAGCAGAGGGACCAGGAGTGGTGGTGGATGTTGGCTCCAGGACAGCACATATCAGGTCCTTCAGTCCTCAGATATCACTGAGGAACGTCAGACACCACCTCAGTTTTGAGCTGCGAAGCAACTCTTGTTCCAACTGTCCCAAAGTATGATCGTGCAAAGCAGAGAGCCGCTCAGCTCAGGGATGAGTCTGGACCTCAGAGGATATCCGTGTTCTGCTCCTCTCCTGCCACTGAAGGTTTTCCACCTCGATTGGGTTAGATGGCTCCTATTCGCATGTTAAGTCTCCTGTGCCCTGATTGGGTACGTCCTTTTGAGAGGGGAAAAGAAAGGAAAATACACAAAATAATCATGTGTCTAAGTAAACACAGTGCTGGGCTGTGGGGTCTGAGACTTTGGTATTTATTTGGGGGGTACTTTGATAGTTTCTGTGCTAGGACATGAAGGCAAGATACAGCCTGAGCACCAGCCCCCTTCCTTCAGTTGCTTCTTGCCAAACCAAGGAGGCATTTGAAGAAGGAACAGGTGGTTGAAGTGGAATGATATATTTCCTCAGGCATCTGTGGCTACATTACCAGTGGTTAGAGAATGTGGAAGAACCTACATGCAACAAGCTCTGCTTGAGCCAGTGGAAATCCTCTTTTACTTCAAGTGGCAGAGGCCCATGACTGCATGCTTACAGGGCTGATCAGGAAACTGGTACGTGTGTAAAGACTTCTTTTGCTAGCAAAGCTAACAAACTAAACACATGTATATAGAGAGAATATATATGTATGCATGTATATCTACAATGTGTGCACACATACAAACGTGTGCATGTAAAGAGGCATATTGAGATAGTATATAGGTGGTTACTGCTGGGGAAAAGTGTTTTTTACTGAAAGTACTTTAAAATTGCTTCCAAACCAGCAATTGAGCAGGGTGCCCAGTGGGCAGAGGCACCGTTTTACTCGATCCAGAATCAGTTTTGCTTCTTCTCCATCTTCTCTGTAACACCACCCAGGAGGGCTGTTTGGGTTTTTTAAATTCCCTACCTTGCAGCCTCCGCAGGCCTGAGATTTGATACTTTTGAGGTGTGGGGAGCAGCAAAAATGACTGAAAATTGCCATTTTCAATAATCAGCAAAACATTCTGGTATTTTAGGAGCCATCACCAGGCTGACCTGTCTTACCTGTGCGTCACAGTTACACTGTGCTCTGGTCCTGCATAGCTGATGTTGAAGGCTCACTGGCAGCCTCTAAACCCACCGCCTCCTG